TATATATATATATATATATATATATATATATATATGTTTAAGTATTCAGATATTTTTATTGATACGTACATATAAGTGTTTCTGTGTATTAAACGTCACTTTTTTTTTTCTAATTTTTTTTACAGATTGGATTAATGAGAAGTGGACGATTATTAGCCGAAGAATCACCACGAGCACTTCTTGCTATGTATCATTGTACAACGCTCGAAGATGTTTTCTTAAAATTGTCCAGAAGACAAGGACAATACTCACAACCCCCAACAGAATTAAATATTTCTAATAATATTAGTTTGGTAAGTTTAATAATAATAATAATAATAATAATAAGATTCAGAATCAATTTTTAATTGATTAAATATTACAAATGTTAAATATTAATACAATATTTATTATATAATTCACTTTCATTTATGAATAAATATATTTTGGAAAAATTTTCATGTAAAAAATATTTAGTTAGTTTTGTGTGTATGTGTGTGTGTGTGTGTGTTTTTTTTTTAAATTGTTTTGATAATTTTAGCATAACACATATCATCAGAGATTTTCCTTATTTTAGGCTTCTTTAAATTGGGGGAAAAAAAATGAACCGGTCTACGTCACGGAAGAATCTGGTGTCGTTGGTTTAAATTTTTATCAAAGCAAAGAAGTTCTCATTCATGATGTAACAAATGGCGTTGGCAATCACTATGAGGTAAGAAGTTATAAATATATATATATTGAATATTTATTTGATTTAAATTCAATTCAATTGATGCTAAATATAATTTAAATTAATTAGATGATTTTACTATTAAAAGAATTATTTATTTTTTTCATTGCAAGAAAATATTGTGGTCAAACATTTTGTAACAAATAATTTGAAATTATTTTGATAGATCACTAATAAATCACCACACGAAAATAAACTCGACATCAAGAAGGAATGTAGTAATTATTTCGATTCTTTCAATATCACCAGTGTTGGAAAAATAAGAGCACTGTTGCAAAAAAATTTCTTACGAATGTGGAGAAACATTGGGTACGTATATATAATTATTTTACAATGAAATTTTTATTCAAAATCAAAATAATATTAATATATGAAGGGTAGAGGTAAGGAGTAATATCTCTGTAAATGAAAAGTGTCCGTTGATATGCATTCAATTAGGGTGGCGCCACAGTACGTAGAGGGATTTACGTCCATTTGAACAACTTTTCACAACACAAATATTACCCATAACTGTTTTGTTATTCACTGACTTTTTCATTAAATTAAATGATCAAAAATCAATAAACTTACTATTCACAGTTCACGAATTAAAATCATTCTAGCTAGCACGTTTTCTCATAATAATTCTTTAAGGTTATATTTACTACATTATTACATAACTCGGCATACTTCAATTCGTTTACAATTGCTACATTCATACCACACCTTTATTTTCAGCAGCGCCATTCTGGAAAGTTCTTGAACTGTTATTTTCAGAAAACGCTGGACACTTTTTCACATTTTCTCCCATAAAAGATGTTACTCCTTACCTCTACCCTCCATAATTAATATTACATTTCTATTTTCTTTTTTGTTTTTTTTTTTTTGATTATGTTATGTTTTTCGATATTGTTCATGGTTATGGTTTTTTATTTTCATTTCAGTGTTATGTTATTCATTTTCGCATTACCAGTAATGCAAGTAATTCTCTTCTGTTTGGCAATTGGAAGGGATCCAATAGGTTTAAAATTAGCTATAGTTAATCACGAATTGTCATATGACAATATGACGTGTCCTTATTTTGACACCTGTGATTTCTCTTTCCTAAGTTGTCGATATCTTAGATTTCTCGATAACGATACGATTATAAAGGTAAATTTATCGATTATATTATTTATTATATTAACAAATAAATTTCAAAGTTTTATTTTGACCCATTACTTCACCAATGGCCGTTTTTTTTTGGAACACATTTTCAAATTTTGTTTAATAACTGCAACTTCAGAATGAAATATATTCATTAAAATCATGAAACCCTATCTGTCATCCATGCTTCATTAAAATAGTAGAAATTCTCTCTCACTATTTTATTTTAAATCAATAATTAATGATATAAAATAATTTTTATATTTAAATAAAAAAAAAAAATAAAAAAACACTCATTGCAAAAATAGTTTTATTTGGTTAATATGAATATCGTTATACAGTTAATTTAATTATTTTTTGTTTGTATTTTTGTATGGTGGCAGGTAATGGGTTAACAAAAATAAATAAAATGATCATTTTTATAATATAATTTACAAAACTTTGTCAAATTTATTTAACAGAATTATTATCGGAATCTTGATGATGCACAAGAAGCTGTAACAAATGGCGAAGCATGGGGAACGTTGTATTTTACGGAAAATTTTACGGATGCACTTGTTGCACGTATGGTCCTTGGAAAGGATTCTGACGAAGAATCACTCGATCAAAGTGAAATCAGAGTTTGGTTAGATATGTCCAGTAAGTTTTCAACAGATACAAAATATTATTTTTATTTCTATATTTTTTATTTATTTAATAATAATAATAATAATATTTATTAAACATACTGAAACACAAATCACTGGATTGTATTAAATTGTATTAAATTAATACAATCAGTGATTTGTGTTTCAGTAAGTATAATAAATATTTAATATAATGTAAAATAATAGTATTAATTAATTAAATTAATTAACCTTATTAATTGTATTAATAATAAGTTAAAGTTATTACAAATTTGATTTCTAATTATGAAATGATTTGTTTAAAAATAAAAATAAATCACTTATAATGATTTTCTCAATTTAACAATAATATTTCTTAATTAAACAGATCAACAAATTGGTTTAATGTTGATGAGGGATCTTCAATATTCATATCGGGATTTTGCTAAGGATCTTTTACAATCGTGTAATGAAAGTTCAAAATTGGCTGATGTTCCCATACAATTTAAGGATCCAATTTATGGTACTAATGAGCCAAGTTTTACGGATTTCGTAGCACCCGGTGTGATACTAACGTAAGTTTAACAATTCAAACCTATAACATTCTCATGTTGCCTTTTTTTTTTGTTATTGTTATTTGTAAGATAAAACAATGACGTAATTATTAATGCATTAGTTTGCACATTGTAAACTCTTTGCCCTTGCATAAAAAAAAAAAAAAAGACAAAGAAGAAAAAAAAGAAGACAAACTTCAACATGTTTTTCCTGTTATTATTGAACATATTATAAATCATCATTTGTCAAACATTATAGCATCGTATTCTTCTTGGCGGTTGCACTTACCTCGTCAGCGTTGATCATTGAAAGAATGGAAGGATTATTGGACAGAAGTTGGGTTGCTGGAGTAACACCTGGTGAAATTCTTTTCTCTCACGTGGTCACCCAATTCGTCGTAATGTGTGGTCAAACCGCATTGGTATTAATCTTCATGATATTAGTCTTCCGAGTCGAATGCAAAGGCGACATTGGATTGGTTATTATCATGACGATACTTCAAGGTCTTTGTGGCATGTGCTTCGGTAAGATTTTTATACTAATTTTTTTTTTTTTTTTTCTATTATTTCTTCTTTCTTCATCCTAAAAATATTTTTAATTATTAGACAAATCATATAACAAAATAATTTCAATATTATTTAGTTAGTTATATATATATATATATAAATTTTATAAATTATTAAATTTATAATATATAATTTTAATTAATTAAATTTTTATATTAAATTAATTTAATATTATTATTAATTAATTTTGTCTTAAGTGTTAAGACATTTTTTTCTTATTTTTAAATTATAAACTTCATGTTTAATTTTAAAAAATTGATTCCAAGTTTCATACGTAGTTTACAATAACAATTCTTACATTAATTAATTTATAGATCATTTTTCTTAACATCATCACTTTCTAAAGTTAATTTGAGTTTTACTATACATATATAAATAATAATTAGGTTACACATTAATTCTATGTATAAATTAATGACTGTTTGCTCATTTACTATTACTTAATCCAGTATGAGCTCATAAAGTTTTCCGATTAGAAATGTTTTCCATGCATTTCTACATTTGTAATACTCTATAATGTTGCAATACATTGAACGTTTTACACAGAATGCTGGTTGGATGATGCAAAAACTAAGATTCGATAGGCGAAAAATTTGTACACGAATACGTAGAAAACATAAATCGTAAGCAATGAACTATTCATCATTGCGTAAAAGTTAGTTTAGATTATACGAGCCTATTTTAAAGGTTACACGTAACAACTCAAAGATATAAACTTTACAATTCACATAGAAATAAAAATTATTTGTCTATAATTAAATACATCTTTCACTTCTTATTTTGTCAAATACGTATTTATGATTCATTTAATATTAATTAATTTTATAAAAAAAAAGAAGTGGCAATCAAATTCATTAGTCTTGTAATTTGACAAGTAAAATTTACGGTTTTAAAATCTGAAGAAAAATTAAATATAATAATATATTAATTTTAAAATATAAATAATTAATATATATATATATATATTAATTTTTATTTTTAATAGGATTCGTAATTTCTGCAATTTGCGAACTTGAAAGAAACGCCATCCAATTGGCTTTGGGTAGTTTTTATCCTACCCTCCTTCTCAGTGGTATGTATTCAATTTTTTAACATTAACTTTATCTTTAACAATTATCTTAATTAATAGAATAATAATATTATATTAACATATTTATAATATTTTAATATTAATTTAATATTATATATAATATTATAAAAATAATTATAATATTCATTAATAATTATATTTATGTTAATATATATTTCAATATAATTATAATTATATAATTAATGGGATCTCTAGCACTTGAATACGCTATCTGGTGGCTAAATTCAAAATTACAGTAGATAGGTCGAATTGCTACTATGACACGTGGGATCTCTAGCACTTGAATACGCTATCTGGTGGCTAAATTCAAAATTACAGTAGATAGGTCGAATTGTTACGCCACGCCCCTGTCAGAGATCCCAATAATATTATAATATTAATTAATATTATAATTTAACTTAAACTAATGTTATAATATTAATTATGATAAAACTTAACCTATAATACTAATTATAATATAATATAACCTACTAATTAGGTATTAACCTAACATAACTTACATATATATATATATATACTTAATTATTAATTTTATAACCTAACATATATTTAAATTTAATTTGTAGGTGTTATATGGCCCATAGAAGGTATGCCAACAGTTTTAAGATACATTTCACAAGGTTTACCCTTAACAATGGCAACGACAGCACTTCGTTCAATGTTAACTCGTGGTTGGGGTATATCAGAACCAGATGTCTACAATGGTTTTATTTCAACCATAGTTTGGATTGTGGTGTTCCTCACGATAAGCATGTTGGTGCTTAAGTTCAAACATAAATAGAAAGAAGACAAATAAACGGGTGCATTTTATTAATTAATAAATAGAAACAGATTTTAGATACAAGAGGGTAAAATGGATTGGGGAAAAGGGAGGGACGATGAAGGGAGTTGATTTGTGAAAGAGAGAGAAAAAGAACAACAACAAAATGGAAGAACGTTGTCTCTTGTTGTAAATTTTAACAATTCAATTTTCATCGTATATGTGAATGTATATGTGTATGTGTGCATATCCATAGTAAAAAGTACGAAAGAAGAATAGATTTAAGATAAAAATATGTAAACGGGAAGGAAGGGAGGGGGGGGAGGGTAGGAGGAGATCTAATAAGAGAAACAAATAATTTTACGGGTTATAATTAACTTCTCTTATTTTCTTTTTTTTTCTTTCTTTATATCTTTCTCTTTCTCTCTCTTTCTCTTTCTTTCTTTCTTTCTCTCTTTCTTTTTTCCTTACCCCGTCAATTATCATTGATTAGATTTATGATGATTGGTGAACGAACGTATCTGTATATATGTGTTGCCAAAATGATAATTTTTAGCTTGATACGTGTGCGAATGAATGAAAATATTACGTGTGTCTGTAAATTTTTTTTTTGTCCCATACTTTCAATCTCTTAAGGATATATTTTGTACCTATTAATATCTCTGTATATTATATACACACACACATATATATATATATATATATAATGGAAAAAGTGAATCTTAAGAATATTTGTACCCCCACTGCCAATTATTACCCCCACTACTTCAAAATTCATATACCCAGAAACGTTTTTTAACATGTTGATCGCCATGTCAGTCATCGGTGACTGACACTAGACTTCCGTTTAGGCCACGTCCGTCACGAATGACTGACACGTCCAACTATTTTTTTCAATAAAATAACATCTGTGGCCTGACGGGAATTTCCCTAAAAAAACTTTCGCGTGGCGCTGTTCAACGTGTTAAGATTATTCAAATTTCAAAGTTTATTACAAAAAAAAAAAAAAAAAACACATTTTATTAAAAGAAAAGTAAAATTTGACATTAACTGATAAGAAAATAAATATTTCATAAGATTTATATTATCATTGAAATAAAATTATATTTAAATAAGAATAAAATTGATATCAATTTGAAAATCTAATAATTTTAAAGTAAATTTCTGTGTGTATAAGAATTTGGAAGATTTGTATTACAAACAAATATAAATTACTTTAAAATTATACTAAGAGCGGGTATGAATACTTCTGTGACTCACTATATGTGTAGTATAATATAGACAGATATATATATACATATGTAATACTTAGAACGACATTGAAATATATGTCGGTGAATTTATAAAATTTATGTTTAGATTTAAAAAAAAAAAAAAAACCAGATAAACGATCTTACCATTTTTTAATAATACACCATTGGAATTGAAACACGTAATTTAAGCAAAAAAAGAAATACCTTATTATAACTATACGTGTATATACATATGTATCACTAGAAATGACCACATACCAAAATGTTATACACCGAATCTTAAGAGAATATTTTAATAAAAAAAAAAAAAAAAATGATATCGTTATTCATACGAAATACAAATTTTTAATGGTTGATAAAAAAAAAAAAAAGAATTTTTTTTTAAATAAAAAGAACAAAGAGATTTATATTTTATATGCATAATATGTGTATCGTAACCGTCCAAAATATGTTCGATGAATTGTCGTCCTATCTAATGTAAGACTATTTTGCAATTGTGTTAATTGGATTTAATAAAAAAAAAAAAAAAAAAAATAAAGAAAAAAAAAGCAAATATATTTTTAACGATTAAAAATAATCATTTTCGTTTGTAACGTATATTATCGTCCACCATTTTGTCCAATAAGCAAAAAAATCAAAATCATTCATCTTATTTTTATTATTTACAATGAAAAACAATTAAATAATAAATAAATAATATACGAAAGAATTAATAATTGAATATTAATGCAATACGCGATATTAATGCAATTCGATATCAACGCAGTTAACTGCATACGACATGCAAGAGGGATTGATAATCACTCTCCTTGACATTTTTTTGTATTTTTTATATTTCTTTCTTATCAATGTTTTGTTTCTTTGTCTATCATTGAGAGAGATTCGCTTTTTTATGCCCAAGATAAACAATCATTCTTATGAACACAATTTATATCGCGTTCGTAATATTTATAAATATTATTTCTATTCCATTAAATATAAAATAAATTGCAATCATTTTCTTTTTTCTGTTTGTTTTTAATTGCAAAATATTATATATATATATATATTTTAGTATCAAATTTCGTGATATGTTTTTATACAGATGCATCAATATTTAAATAAGTTGTAAAATTAATCCAAAAGTATTCTTTAAATAATTATATTAATAAATCATTTTATTTTTTAAACAA